TAACCGATTAGCAACAAATTGCTGATGTTGTTCACCTACTGTTTCAGCAGTTTTTATTTCATCAAACTGCATATCCCGGGTTATCACGATTTTCCGATTCCTCTCATCAAATAGCTTGTAACCTCCCGTAGAGTGATATCCAACAAATATCAATTTCTCACCTTTATCATCCAATTTCTTTCTAAGTTGATTCGGTACATGACGATATGCAATCGATCCAAAAATGCGCAAATGATTCACACTCGGTTTGAAACCACTCCAAACCTCTTCTGGTGTAATTTTTCTCCAGCTTCTTATTAGGACACCTATTCAACAAGTAGGTGGCTGTAGACACGGCCTCACCCCATAATTCTTTAGGTAACTTCTTCCCATAAAGCATACTATGCACCATGTTCATTATTGTACGATTTTTCCTCTTGGCAGCTCGTTTTGTTGAGGCGTATATGGAGGCACCACCTCACGCACAATACCCTCAAGATCACAAAACTTCCCAAACTCACTAGAGGTATATTCACCTCCACCATCCATTTTGAGAATTTTAAGCTTCCGACGCTTTGACGCTCCACCATGGATTTGAACTCTTGAACACTCCAAACACCTCATCCTTTCTCTTGATAAGATATGTCCAAAGCTTCCTACTAAAATCGTCAATGAACGTAACAAAATATCGATTGCCGCCATAAGTCTCTACTTGCATCGGTCCACAAACATCAGAATACACCACCTCAAGTAAGCCTTTGGTTCTTCGACCCGTATCCTTGCTAAACACATTCTTGTGTTGCTTACTCTTCACACATTCCTCACATAATTCTCTCAGAACACTAATATGTGGCAGCCCCGTTACCATTTCACTTTGTTGCAACATTTTAAGATCCCTAAATTTTAGGTGACCAAGACGGTAATGCCATAACCACTCATCTCTACTTGCCGCGGTAGCTAAAAAACGATGCTCCATAACCTTTAACTCAACCTTAAAAGTTCTATTGGCAGCCATCGGCGCTTTTAGAATCAACACACCGTTTGAATCTAAAACGCGTAACATCTTGTTCTCCAACCGAATTAAGTACACTCTTTCAAATAATTGGCCAATGCTTAAAAGATTGCACTTAATTCCCGGTATGTACAAGGACATCTTTGATCCTAGAGTGTCCATCATTCTTTCTTCCGATCAAAACATCTCCTACCCCTTCGGCTCTAAAGTGGTGTCGTCGGCAAACTTGACTTTACTCTTTGCCGCTTGATTGATTTGCACAAATCAATCCTTTCGACCCGTCATATGTGTTGAACAACCGGAATCCAAGTACCACTCATCTTTACTTTGAACTTCATCACGCATAGTAAGTAATGCATTTCGATCCGAATGCATTTTTCCACCACTTTCCGAAACTGTACAGCTGTTGTCCCGCGGACTATCACCACAGTAGCTGCTGTCCGGAACATCAACAATGCCATAATTATCTTCTGTAATCATCACAAGAAGGGTATCTTCATCATCTACCTCTTCCCTAGAAACCTTAGCCTCATCCGCATCCTTTTCCTTGCGTTTTGAGCGACATTCTTTCGCAAAATGCCCAAGCTTTTAACAATTATAACACTTCACAGAACTTTTGTCAAACGATTTGTGGGCGCTTTGATTACCATCTTTGGAGCTTCCTTCACCCTTTGAATTTTGTGGATATTTTCCACCAAAATTCTTCTTATTTTTTAGAAGTCCACTTCCCTTTCGATCTATTGTTCTTCTCATGTAAACGCGCTTGCAAAGCGATCTCCGCTTTGGCTTTGTCGGCACTTCTCTCATCCATCCTTTGTTCATGCCGCCTCTAACGAACTTTACAACTCATCTTTGCTCAAAGTTGTTAGATCCTTTAATTCCTCAATAGCCACAACAATGTTATCGAAACGTGATGTTAACGAACGCAACACTTTTGATACAACATTCTGCTCGAGGATCATTTCGCCACATGACTTGATTTGGTTGACTAACCGGGTAATGCGCGTGATGTAATCGTTGATCGTTTCTTTGTCCTCCATTTGCGTTAACTCGAATTGACGTTTGTAAGTTTGTAACCTTACCACCTTCGCTTTGACGGCACCGGCATACGCTTTCTCCAAGATTTCCCATGCTTGCTTCGCGGATTCACAATCACCAACCTTCTTGAAATTGTCGTTATGAACACAAGAGTGAATCAAGAATAGGGCTTTGTAATCCTTTTTCTTTTCTTCCTTGTGTGTAGCCCTACGAGCATTGGTAGCATCTTCCCCTAACGGTGTAACTCCATTGATGACGATCTCAAGCACCTCTTGATAACCAAACAAAACCTTCATTTGTTTCGCCCATTTGTCGTAGTTCTTCGAATCAAGAATTGGGAGATTGGTGGGAATTCGATCATTGAAAACGGTAGCCATTGTTGCAGCGGATTAGGATCAATAACCGGAGCTCTTGATGCCAAATGTTAAAACAACATAAAACATAAAACCAGAGCTTTGAAGGTAGTAACAGTGGTGAAAAGAAACTTGATAAAGATGAAATGAGAGAGAGAGAGAGAGATGAGGAGAGAGAGAGAGAGAGAGAGAGAGAGAGAGGAGAGAGAGAGAGAGAGAGAGAGAGAGGAGAGAGAGAGAGAGAGAGAGAGAGAGAGAGAGAGAGAGAGAGAGAGAGAGAGAGAGAGAGAGAGAGTAATATTGGTGAATAAAAAATGACATTAACATTGAATTGAGATTACAACAATGTATATATACACACGAGAGAATAGTACAACTAAATAACCAAAACCAACTAAAGTGTCATGCTGTTAAATTCTGCTATTTTCCAAAAAACTAACCGCTGTAACAAATTTTTAAAAGCTCACAACACTGTTATTTTGGTAGATGCACTTCTCATGTTGTTTAACATAGTATAGGTGATTTTAGTTCTATTCTTTTATCTTTACAAATTTACACTAATTAGTTGCAGCACTATTTAGGCACTCATATACTGATATCTTGTTTTTTCATTTAATTACAATTTGAAATAATTTAATTGACAAAAGTTAGATTATTATTATTATTTTGTTGTCACACACATTGTAATCATACAAAGTAATTGATTTTATTTGTTTTTTTTTAATGTTGTGATTATGTTGATTGAACAGGTATTTGGAAACCTGAACTATATTTCTGCGGTATTCGTGACTATTTATTTAGAAATAAAACAATCTTATTTATAATGAATATTTTTGTCTATTACTATAATTTAACTTTAATTAAATAAATATATTTTATTCATTTAATTTTTAAATATTTTATAAATTTATCTCTTAACTTGAACCCATATATATAAGTTAGGATTAATCATAAAATAAATAATTTAATGGAGAATAAAAATAGTGTCATTTATAATATCTTTGCTATTAATTCAATACATTTTAATGAAGAAATTTTTTTTTAACATCTATAATAAAATAATTAATATAGAATAATTGTTAGAATGAATTACGTTACATATTATCATTAAAGTTATTATTAAATTTATTAATTTGGTGTATCATATTAAATTATTAAATTCAAAGTTATCATATTGTATATAATTAATAAAATATATATTTTTCATCAAAATTAACTTTAAGTTTTTTTCTTTTCCACTGACAATTTACTATTTATTTTAAAATAAACATGTCTCTTATAGTAGATATTTTTACATTTTTGGATAACTTAACTTTATTAAAATTATTATTGGTATTTATATTTTAAATTTATATATATATATATATATATATATATATATATATATATATATATATATATATATATATATATATATATATATATATATATATATATATATATATATATATATATATATATATATATATATATATATATATATATATATATATATATATATATATATATATATATATATATATATATATATATATATATATATATATAATTAACTTTTTATCTTACGAGTCACTACTAGGATAATCTATTTTATTTAAATTAATAATTTTTATAGAAAATAAAATATTTATATTTAAATATTATTTTGTCTCTATTTGACGGTATTTTCTTCTTCTTATTTTTATAAGATTATTTAATATAATTAAATCTATATGAATATTGTTTATTTTACATATAAGTCAATCATTTTAAATTTTACATTTATATTTAAAACCTTACATTTGCATAATTAATTTTTTTCATGAATAATTAAGTTACATAATCATTAATAAAATAATTATGAGTGACATTTATTCGTATCATTCAAAATATATTACATCAAATATACTCCACGGCTGTCTAACTAGTTTGCTTTTAAAATATCCAGAGATACCCTAAGTTGTTCCTCTATGCATGGCCTCCTTAAGGAAGATACTCTCATGTCTGTTTGGTATTATGGTGTCTGAAAAAACAATTTGATCGAATTACTTTGACTTAAGAAGTGAATTTAAAAGTAAAATAGCTTTCATTAGTATACATTCTTATCCCAAAATTTAAAATTTTGAATAGAGGATCTAACCTCTTGGTCGCTTGCTTTGATCCCAATCGAATCTAGGTTGAATCGACATTTAATTGCAATTGATTTAAACAATTTTTACTTTTTAATATTTGTCATCGGAGTCAACCATGAATCATGGTCCATGATTGAACCGCTTCTAATATCGAGAATGTTTTTTATCCTATGAAAACTTGCAATAAATTAAATTCCAAAGCTGTAATTCTACATTTACTTATGAAATCAAAATTCTGGAACTTTTATTTTGTTCAATTACAAATAAATTATATCTCAAAGATCCAAAGTAATGCAAGAAATACACAGGTTTGAGGAGGAGGAGAAAATTTAAAGAAATGTATCTCACATACATACATGTAACACTTTTATTTCTATATCTCGAACAAAAATAGGGTATGATTTCCGGCTAGTCTCTCAACGAACTTGACGCGATGAGATTTGACATAGTTATTGGTAATAATTATCTTCCATCCAAAAATGAAAAATGTAACTTGAAAGCAGGCAGCTAGTTGACAACATCAAGAACCAACTTGCGAGATTTAAGAACAGACCATCGAAGTCGGCGATAATACGCGGCTTGAAGTAATGCCAATGATAGTACAAATATCCATTTAAATCCCATCTGCAGGTAGTAGCAATGTTCTTAGAAAATCAATTTTGTTTTCATTGAATTTGTTAGAAGAAGGATAACATAGAAAGCAAACCAGTTTTCTTTCTTCCATCTCAGGTTCTGCAGCCCAAGACAAAAATGACACAACATCTTTTCCCATCTACAACAGCACAAACAAGGAGAAAAAAGATTGTTTCATTCCTCATATGTTCATAGTATTTGATGATCAATTATGATAAATTTATTAAATGAAATACTCGACAAACAAAAGTACCTGAGATTCTGTAGCAGGGGTACCATCTTCGTATTCAACAGCACCATCATTAAGCATTTTAGGCATGGCAATGGCTCCGCCCGGGAAATAAGGGTTATAGTGTAGTCCTTCTCTAATCTGCATTACAATTTAGAAGATAACCATGAACGAAATTTGATGTTAAGCACAGTATTGTCACATTGGTGCAGGGACAACATAACTTTGAACCTGAACATAGTATTTAGAATTGATGACAATTAGATAGTTGAGAGACTATAATAAAGTAGAGTTTATCTCTAAAATCAATGCAAAGAAAATTTACCACAACACCGGCAGGGGGGTCACGATAACCGGTAAGAAGAGCAAACACATAGTTCTGACCATTGTGACGAGCCTGGAAATACAAAGGTTAAAGAAGTTTCTGGTATGCATAAAACAGAACATCTTAGTTACTAGCAGACAACTGACATTACTTTGGTAACAAGACTTAGATCTGGAGGATAGGCTCCTCCATTGGCAAACCTAGCAGCTGATTCATTTGCATATGGTTGAGGAAAGCGATCACTGAGTTTGCCGGGACGTGTAAACATCTCACCCTCATCATTAGGGCCATCTTCCACCTCAATCTCTGCAGCCATGGCCTTTACCTCCTCTTCTGTGTAAGCAACACCAACCAAATCACGGTATGATATCAAAGACATAGAATGACAGGAAGCACAGACTTGTGTATAAACTTGATGACCACGACGAATCCTGCCCATAAGAAATTATTAAAAATTGTTTAATATTTACCAACAACTCGCAACTCTCTGTAAATCACATTAAAAATGAAAAAGAGGCTAGTTTTAGTGTGTCGTAATGACTAACTTAGAAAATATTATTCTTGATCCCAAAAACATGAAAAAAAAAAAGAAACCTCAGCTCAAACACACTAGGTATGATCAAAAAATGAAAAATATAGGGAAAATTCGGGTCAAACTCACGAAGCGTGGTCATATGAACTGAGGATGCCCTCGTGGGGCCATGGATAGCTAGGAGAAGCCAGGCCATGCTCGGCTTCATCAGCTGATGCTGTTGTCGCAAAACCCAATAACCCTGAGACTCCAGCTCCAATTAATGCAAGGGCTTTTAAGGATCTGCTGCTCGTAGAACCAGCACCATCATTCTTTGTGATAATGGATGACACCGATAAAGGATTCTGCAGGAAGCATAATAGAAGTCATTAGCAAAAGAAAATTAGGTTGTTCCATGGAAGGAAAATTGTTATAAGCTCGTCAAAATTTTAAGTCTTAAAACACTTTACACGTATGATGATAGAAACTGGTATTGTGATTGTTTACTTAGGAAAATATATTAGAGAATTGGTACTGCAATCATAGATATTGGGGATATGATGAACATGTGAATGTAGGCTAAGAATGGAAACTCTAGAACAGAGGAACAAAGCATGTGGATGTAACTTCCAGCAAGGAAATTATTGAATTGATACAATATAAACTGTTTACACCCAGCAATTGATAAATAAACCAACCTTCTAGGAACTAGAGAGCCTAGCCTCTCCCAAACCAACCAACATACAAAATACCTGAAGCCCTCCCTTTTCCCTTTCACCCTATATTTATAATTCTAACTACCTAAACAGTTACAAAGCAGTTACATACCAGTTACTGCACACAACATTCAATAATAATAAATAATAATAAAATAAACTATCTATTACTAACATATGATTTCCACCATACCAGTCTTCAGAACGGTCTTTTCCTATATCAAACAATGACTCTAAGCCTAAGTGGCGAAGTCAGAAAAATTATAAAGCCTGGGCAAAATTTTAACGATCGCAAAATAAAAGACGAAGATGACTTCGTTCCTACTTCCTTCGCGAGCTCAAGCAGCATAATGGGATTGATCTAGGGTTTCACTTTTCATTTTGGTCCCTCGTTAAGAGTTTCAATTTTTGCCTTATTTTTTGCCATACAATCGCGATTGGAAAAATCAGAGTCGCCACTATATTTTATTCATTCTTATGGAACATGGGAAATAACGGTAAAATCCTAGAGATAAAGATAATACGGTCATCGCGATCGAATAAGGGTTCGGAAGTCAGTTAAGTGAGGGGAAAGTATAAAGCACCCCTCACCTCCCTTGTACTCAAGGGGGGACCTTCTCTACATTTAGGGTTAAGGTGTGTTTGCTAATCATCTATTACACACGCATGTGAGAGAGAGTATTCATTTTAACTTGGATTTCACTGTTCTTCTCCATCTCTCTTTCCATCTTTTCCTCTCTCTTTTCCTCTCTAAAACTCACCCTTTTCCATGAAAAACAAGCAAGACAACCATGAATGCCCCCGAAATCCCTTCTAAGTTCAAATCTAAAACCAAAATCATCAACGATCCACTCCAACTCCTAGATCGAAAACCCCCAAATTCAGAATCCCTAGACCCAAAATTGATCTAAACTTGACCCTAAACTTTCATCCAACATCAATTCAGAAACAAAATTCAAAATAACAGTTGATCTAAAATTGATCTAAACTTGACCCTAAACCTTCTTTGATTGAAAAATTAATTTTATTTTATTTTATTAAAAGGAGAAAATAAAGATAAAGGAAAGAGATTATGTAAAAACAAATTTCTAATAACAAAAACTTAAAGATGTTAGTAATAATATCTAAATAAATAATAATATTTACAATATAAATCTAGACTGATAAAAAAATATAATAAATCTGATAAAAAAATAATGTTAACAATAATAGTATTAATTAATAATATAGCAATAATAATCCTAATATGACAATTATTTGATAATAAAATAGTAAAAAGATGAGAAATAGAATAAATAAAAGAAGGCTAACAAATAGGAAAAGAGAAAAAAGCATAAAAGAGAAAGGTAGGATTTAAACTCATGTGTTCACATACTTGCATTCCTTAACCTCACTTTACTATCCACAGGGCATTGCACTGAATTATTATAAAATGACGCTTAAAAATATATGAAAGGTGGGAAATTTTGGAGTATAACACATACAAATTACCTCAATCTCAACAAAATTTTGGGCCAGAGCCTGGACAGATGCCCAGGGTGGCCAGGCCTTAGACCCGCCCATGCTAAGCCTGTATTAGAAGATAGCTCGCATTAATCCAACTTAGAGCCAAGTCCTCATGAGTCCTATTAGGGAATAATAAAAGCTACGATATGGGCAAATCCATCTGAAGTACTTCTCAGAGAAGTATTCTTTACACCCTAAATGACAGGGAGATTGAGCATGATTTGGAATCAGAAAACTGTATTTAAAATTTTACATGGTATTTAAATTTGATCTGCCGAAAAGACGAGAAGTTTTTTAGTATTAGTGAATCGTAACAAGCCACCTGAACTGTTAAAAGATTTTCCTGCAACTGAAAAATCTTAACTGCTACAATGATGATGCACTTCCTTATTATCTACCGCTAATTTAAAACTTTTGCAACAACATATGGATGAAATAAACTCCTAATATGATATAGCTTTGAATTAAGTAGTTGTTTAATAGTGAGTCGGGAAAAATTAAATTTCAAAAGAGTCCTTGATGTATAATTAGCAATATGAAATTGTAAATGTATGGCCTGCTTTCTAGTAAAGCTACACTAAGGCACAGTCTGCTGGCAAATTGTAAAGACACATGCATGTAGCAAATAATGCTAAGGGGCATTATAAACATTGCAGGAAAAATTGCACAGTGTTATCATTGATCCATGCCATAAAATATTCAATGAAGTTTCAACTGGCAACTAACTGTCTAACACAAATGCCTCTTTTGCAAATCCAGCATCCATAGTGAACCCAGCATCATCAACCCATCATGCAGGAATGATGTCTGCTGAGCAATTTGAAGGAGAATCATATTAAGTTTTGTTCCTACCTCCAGGATTATTTCAAACTCAAGTTCTGTTAATCTTCGATTCTTTCAATTTCAGTGTTGTCATTATGTTATTTTTATTTGTTGTCAAAAGGAGTACATGCATTACCCGAGTAATAATTGGAGATGAGAGGATAAGGACTAAGGGTATGTTTGGGAGTTTAGAGGGGAAGAGAGGGATTTGAAAAAAAGGGAACGATTGAGTGAAATGAATTGAAGGATTTTGGTTGAGAGGGTTTTAAAGGGTTTGCTTTTATTTAATTCGGGAGAACTCAAAATTTGTATTGGAGGAGCATTTTGGAGGCTTACATATGTTGGGTTATCATGAGGAGCATCCACCCTGGATCAAGAGACACCACATATTCATCCAAAACCTTAAGGTGATAGGTGTATGGGTCATCTCACTTATAAAGTGTTGAATCTCCACTTTTACAAACAATGTGGACTAACAACTCACACTTGTGCACAACATCTCCCCTCAAGTGTGAGTCCATCCACCACGCTCCCCCTCAAGCGGAAGCTCTTTCATCCACATACACTTGTACCACTGTTGGGGCACTTTAACGGGACACGCCACCTGACCACAACCATGTCAAGAAGACTTTCAATACAAAGAGCCGATCACTTAATTGAAGCATCGACTCTGATACCACAATTGAGTCATTATGAAGAGCATCCACATTGAGTCAAGAGCAACACACAAGTGAAAGAGACACCACATATTTATCCAAAACCTATACAAAATCATTTTTTCAAAAAATGTCAAATATTTTTCTATATTTTTAAAAAAAATCATTTTCGAAAGCCTTCCCCTCTCCTCCCCTCCAAACACCTAAACAAAGCCTAAGTGTTGTGTTTTGATATGGACCACTGTCTGGATGAACACCGTTATATCCTAAGAATCATACCATGCTGTAAAACATAACTATTAAACATCCGTCATATTTTTATGGAAGATGCTTGCCATCATGAACCCTCATTTGTCACTAATAAACATTGTGCTGTGTTGATGTTTATTCTATATGAGACTCATAGAGAGAGAATGATAAATCAGATGAATTAGAAAAAGATATTGCTCAAAGATATAAAAAAGTTGAAGCGCATAGCAATAACAACTTCCAGATAAAACAATGTATCCTTTCCCTCAAATTTGTACAACATAAAATCATTTTTTCCCAATGCCTAACTTTTAATCTAAGGGTCTTCATATAAAGTCCCAGATTGCAAGAACCAGAAGCATAATCCTAAATATTCACAAAGAACGAAATTATCACAGAGAGGATCTAATGCTTACAGGAGAATGAGATTGGAGTTTTCTCCTCAATAACTGCTGAATAACACCGCCAGCCATCTCAATCCACACTGGCAACCATTCATATAAAAAAGAAACAATAGATCAGTAACCAAATAAATTCAACCAAGTATCGATGATACAGCTCCATACATAATCATAAAATCAATTGTAAGGAATGAATCATCAAATAAGTGCAAATAGCTATAATAAAAAAATTTATTAGCAGCTTCTGCAATGAAAAAATATAAAAACTGTACCCTAAAATGAAGATTGGCAGGAGAAATGCTAGCAGAGCAGATCTAAAACTATAGATTATGGTGAGATGACCTATCAAACAAAATCACTTTAAATAATCTGCATGTAGGAATGTAATCAAATTCATGGTGCAACACATTGACAATAAGAATAAGGAAGAGATCAACAAGATAGACAAAAAGGATGAGTTTCATAAAGACCAACATGTTCCTTGTCGAACACACAACAAAAAATAAAACTCCACAACGCATGTAAAATACGATGTAACCTTAAATGTTAATGACCATAGTGTCTGATAGTATCTTATCCCACTAAGAAAAGTTGTAACTCGAACCAAGAAAAAACCGCTAAGAAAGGACTATCATCTGCCCAAATCATTAAAAATGTCATGCTAATATCTATCATTGAAGGACTATTGCTCTTCAAACACAGAAACTGCAAATAATGCATAAATTCAAACTGTCACTTAATTACAATAATCCTAGATTATTGCATTCATTATTATACTATCTTCCAATATCATTTATGTAAAGTGTAAACCATAATGAAAATCCAATTGAGTCTAATCTAAATAAATAAATAAACAGCGAATTTAATTCAATTCAGTCACCTCACAAGAACAAGCACAAGCACACGATTATGAATTAAAAAAAAAACTATAACATACAACACACAAAAATCAAAAGCGAGAAATGGTTACATAAACTGGAAAAGAAGCAATCTCATAACCTAACAAATCAATGTTTAATCGAGTGCACTTAAAATTGAAAACTCTAAGAATTCAAATATTCAAAAAATGAGTTACAGATCCGAGTTAAGGTGGTAGCTAAACGACGAATGAGAAATAGAAGCGCGATGGGGAATTGAAATGAAAATGCGGAAAGGGACTTACGAATGGAAGCGCGATTGGGATTGAAGATCGAATGAAGAATAGAGAGAAGGTGAAGGAGAAACAGTGAAACAGAGACGAGGAAACGATACAAACGCTACTTTCGCTGTGGCCACAATAGTTTCTATGGGCTTTTTGGGCTTTATTGTTGCTTTTTGAGATTTTGTCCTTTCAATCTCACGAGCATTAACTTAGGGAATTTCTCATTGTCCCCTTTTATTTCTCGTAAGTCTGATTGGATGTCCACTGAAATCTATAAATTTTGATGGATAAGATAAGATTGTTATCAATTCACAATAATAATAAAAAATAGAGGAAGAAAGAAAATTAAAGTTTGAACAAAATAAGAAGATGATGATTTTCTATAGAGTAACTCTCTACTTACAAAATATGGAAAATATAAATTTTGTGAATACAAGTTGCGTACAATAATAGGAGTTACTCCCTCTATTTATGGTTTTAGGTTAACTTTCTCCCTAAGGAAGAGCTCAAAACACAAAAGCCCAAAATATTTATTTTGGATCTAAGTCGAAATCCTATGTCGAGACTATCTCCTTTGATACTTTGGCACAACTCGACACATTTACAGATTAATTTGACACACCCATCTATCGAGCAACATGTTGCTTCGACGCAAGGGAATTACATTCTCAATGAACCACCTAATACATTGTGTCTAAGTTGTCTACATTCATCATAACTCTTAGTCTTCTAAACACTTTGACTTGCACTCTCTTCATCATGATATCTGCAATCTAGTTCTCGGTTCTGCAGTGTTCCAAGTTTATCTTCTCTTCTGTCACCTAGATAATGGTACCTCATCTCGATATGTTTGCTTCTGCCATGTGCTATTGGATTCTTCGCCAGATTGATAGCTGACATAATATCGATCTTCATGGTAATTACTCCATGATTTTTCTCTATAATCTCTTCGACCAAGTTCACCATCCATGTTGCTTGACATATACAAAGAGAAACAAATATTTACTCTACTTCACATGATGATAGTGTCACTCCTGGTTATTTTCTCGAACTCCAAGCAACTAGTGCATAACCTAGCATAAACACATAACCCATCGTGGATTTTCGATCCTCAGCATCATTATACCAACTTGAGTCAGTGTATCCCACTAACTTGCATTCTTTTCCTTTATCAACTGCAGGAAACAAAATTCCATAGTTAAGAGTTCCTCCCAGATACCTTAATGTCCTCTTCGCCGCTGCTAGATGTGGTACCTTTGGCTTCTGCATAAAGATACTCATCATACCTACACAATATGTTAAATCAGGCCTTGTGTGACAAAAGTATCTTAGTGATCCGATAAGTCTTTTGTATTGGGTTGGATCGACATCATCTTCATATGAGTCTTTTGACAATTGCAACCTTAGTTCAGCAGGTGTCGAAGTCGAGTTGCATTCTTCCATCTCAAATCTCTTAAAATTTCTCTTGCATATCTTCTTTGATGCATCATTAAACCTCTATTGCTCTTGTAGAATTCGATGGCAAGGAAATATGAAATGTCTCCCAGATCTGATATTTCGAATTCCTTGCTGAGATCACCTTTGAAGTCTTTGATCTCTTTCTTGCAGCTCCCTGTTATTAACTAGTCACTGACATAGAGATATAGTATAAGCAATTCACAATTGCTTCTTCTTATATATACTTCATGCTCAATTGTGTACTTCAGAAATTCCTTCTCCCTTAGAAAACTATCAATCTTCTTATTCCAAGATCTTGGAGCTTGTTTGAGTCCATACTGGGCTTTATGTAGCTTGTACACCTTTTTCTCTTTGCCATGTTTCACAAATCCAACTGGTTGTTTAACATAAACTTCTTCATCTAAGGTTCTATTCAGGAATGCATATTTCACGTCCATTTGACATATGTGTCAACTGTTTATTTCTGATAGACCAACAACCAACCTGATTGTTTTGATTCTAGCAACAGGTGTAAAAACCTCATCAAAATCGATCCCTTTTAGGATTCAATTTCATCTTGTATACCCACTTGACATCAATTGCCTTCTTTCCTTGAGGCAATTCGACAAGTGACCAAGTGTTGTTGACTTCGATGGACTTAAATTCCCCATTCATTGCTTTCACCCACTTTGAATCCTTCAATGCCTCAGTTGCATTAACAAGTTTGACATCTGCATAAAAATCATAGTGTACCGGTTCACCTTCATCATCGATCATATCATCTAATATAATCACACACTCTTGTAACCTTGCAGGCATGCGTCTAGTTCTCTAAGGTCTTCTTGGGCCTACTTCACCTCTAACCTCTTCCTGACAAAATTTTACTCTTTCGACTTTAGTTGTTGGTTCTTCACATAAGATTCTCACTGAATCCTTGTTTACATTTTTCAGTCCAATCTCATTCCTTAAGTTCATCTATGATCATGTCCTTGTTGATCACTGTCTGCTTGTTCACTAGGTCGAACAACTTGTAACCTCATATCGAATGATACCATACTAGGATCATATGACTCGACTTGTCATCAAGTTTTCTTCTCAATTGCTCTGGCACATGTCTATGTGCTATAAATCCAAACACTTTCAGATGACTCAAGCTAGGTTTAACACTAGACCAACATTCTTCTAGCATAATTCCTTTTAGCTTCTTCGTCAGACATCTGTTCAATGTATGTTGCAGTTGACACAGCTTCACCCCAACACTCTTTAGGTAAATGCTTGCCTTTTAACATACTTATAACCATATAATGATGGTTCGATTCTTCCTTTCTGCAGTTCCATTTTTTTGTGGAGTGTAGGGTGCATGCACGATCCCCTCTTTCTCATAGAACATGTCAAAGTCTTTCAACACACATTCTCCACCACCATCAGTTTCAAAATATTAAGCTTTCGACCACTTTGTCTTTCGACCATATACTTAAACTTGAAAAATACCTCGATCACTTCACTTTTCTTCTTGATCAAGTAAGTCCATAACTTTCGAATGAAATCATCTATGAATGTAACAAAGTATTTGTTACCTTTAGTCGAATCCACTTGGATTGGTCCACATACATCAGAGTATATGATTTCAAGAATAGCCTTCGACTTGTTTCCTACATCTTTATTGAAGGTATTCTTCTGTTTCTTCGCCTATACACATTCCTCACATACCTCATTTAGAATGTCGATTTCTGGAAATCCTGAAACCATATTTCTTCTTTTCAAATCTTTGATGTCTTTAAAGTTGAGATGGCCTAGTCGATAATGTCATATCCATTCATCCTTGCTAGCTACAGTCGCAAGGCACTTCTGCCCCATCATATTAAGTTCAATCTTGAATGTTCTTTTCTGGGACATATGAGCCTTCAAGATTAAACTTCCTCTTGTGTCAACGACTCTCATCATCTTGTCTTTGATCGACACTTTATAATTCTTTTCGACCAATTGCCATATACTGAGCAAATTTCTCTTCATGTCTGGTATGTACAACACATTGGAAATTACTTACCTCTTTCCATCTTTCCTCATAATCAGAACATCACCAATACCTTTAGCTGCTAGAGTATTATCATTGGCAAATTTCACCATGTTCTTTATCAAGGGTTTTATGTTGACAAACCAATATTTCCTCCCAAATATGCATGATGAGCATCCAGAGTCCAAGTACCATTGGTCCTTGAATCTCTCTTCATCTCTAGTTGTGACCATCAACATCATCTCTTTTTCTTCATACTTTGCAAACTTTTTATCACTTTATTGATTCTTTTGTTTTTATGGACAATCACTAGAATAATGACCATACTTCTGAAAATTAAAACACTGAATGAAACTCTTGTCAGGTTTTCGACCACCACCTCTTCCTCTACCTCCAACACCACCTCTTTGGTTGCCTTGGTATGGGGATCTTCTGTAATTTAACATAATTCTTTCTTGTTGGTCTCCTCTACCAGTCAAATTGTTGTAGCCTCCTCTACCTTTGTTGTGGAACCACTTTAATTTGCCTTTCTTTTCTCTTGTTGACTGTGTCTGCAAATTCACATCACTATTCAACTTTATTGTAGCTCTTTCAGCCATTCTTTCTTCATGAGATTCAAGCATCCCTTGAATCTCTTCTTTTATCAATTTCGACAAATATTTCAACTCGTCTATGGCTACCACGGCGTTGTCGAACTTCAGAGTCAATGACCTCAAGATCTTTGCCATAACTTATCTTGTTGTCAGTACTTATCCACATACCTTTATTTGATTCACTAGTTTCGTAACCCTAGTGAAGAAACCACTTATACTTTCACTTTCTTCCATCTAAATAAATTTATATGTTCTTTTGTGAGTTTGTAACCTCACCTCTTTCATCTTTTCTGCACCTCCAAAATATTTTTCCAGAATTTCCCAAGCTTCTTTCGCAGATTCTACATCATTAACCTTTTCGAAATTGTCTGGACTCGAACATTGATAAATTATAAAGGGAGATTTGTAATTCTTCTTCTTCAATTCTTTATGTGTTGCCTTTTCTGCGTCTATTGCTTCTTCTGCAAGCAATTCTAATCCTTCTTTCACAAGATCCCAAATATCTTGACAACAAAATGCAACCTTCATCTGCTTGCACCAATTCTCATAGTTATCAACTTTCAAAATTGGAAGATTTACTAGAAAATGTCTGTTTGGATGATTCATTGCCATAGTGATTTTCTTCCCTTGAATCGCTCAACCGGAGCTCCTGATACCAGATGTTGGAAATCCACCAAAACCTATGAGAGTTTCTATCAACCTTGAAGAATAAGATTTTTATCAATACACAACAACAATAAAAAATAGAGGAAGAAAGAAAATTAGGGTTTGAACAAAATAAGGAGAAGATGATGATTTTCTGTAGAGTAACTATATGCCCATAAACTATGGAAAATCTTATTCACTTGCAACTAAAATTTTTGTGAATACAAGTTATGTACAATAATAAGGGTTACTTCCTCTATTTATAGTTTTAGGTTAGCTTTCTCCCTAAGCCAAAACCCAAAATACCTATTTTGTATCTAAGTCGAAATCCTATGTCGAGGCTATCTCCTTCGACACTTCGGCACAACTCGACACACTTATAAACTAATTCGACACACTCTTTTGACAAGCAACATGTTGCTTTAACACAAGAGAATTACATTCTCAACAAGTCCTACGCGGATTTTCAAAAATATCCCTTATGTTGGGAAATGCATTTTCAAACGCACTCTTTTTTCACAAAATACTTGAATTTGGAAATGCATATCCAAATAAACCTTATTTTTTATGAAAAAAATGTATTTTCGGATACGCATCTCCGAATAAACCTTACTTTTTATGAAAAGTGTGTGTTCGGATATGCATTTTTGAATTCTTCTCTGTTGTGTTTTTTCTAAACTTAATATGGAATGTGTCTAGATCGACACACCTGATAATCATACATATCAACAATGCAACAAACATGTAAATACCAACAATTTCTCTATTGAGAAAAAAAATTGGAAAATAAAAAAATTATTAAAATAAAAATATAAAAATCTCAAAATACAACTAAAAATCAAATAAAATCAAATTAAGTGTCTACAAAAGTTTTCGGGTTTTTTTTTTTAAAATATGAAAACAGAAAATAAATCAAATAAAAATAGAAAATCAAGGAATTTAGGGTTTTTAACGTGGTGTCCCATATTTTACTCCAAAATAAGGGATTTTGATCCCTGGTTTTTTCTAATAAATTGGTAAGGTAAAATTTTGATTCAGAGTCAATTTTTCAGAAAACCGAGTTTTTTACAATAGGTCACGTAAAGGCCAGAAACTCAGGAACGTAATGGTCATAATGCGAGGATACTATTTATATTACTCTAATATTGGTAAAAATAGATAGAGAGGTCTCGAAAAATGCGTCAATTTTAATGAAAATGCGGGTTCATAAGTGTTTTCGAATATGCATCTTCGAATTAACCCAGAGTGAATTCAGATATGCATTTCCGAATTCAAGTTTTTTGTGGAAATAGGGTGCGTCCAAAAATGAATTTCCAAATTTATCCAAGGACATTTTTGGAATTTCAAGAGTGTGTCTCATATAGCAATGGTGGGAAGAGAAATTGCATTAACTTAACAACATCATAGTTGTACATGACACATTCAATAATGGCTGCTTTTACTTTTATGGCCTTATAAATTTTTGTTGAAATTTATTTTCATGTTTACGGGAAATTTCTGAAATTTTCAGAAAAAATTATTGAATTTTTTAAAAAATATGATAGTTTATATTCGACAAAAAAAATTCACTACAGAAAATTTCAAAACTTTCGGAAAATTACACAACTTTTTAAAAAAATTCAGAAAACTTAAAATTCTCGATAGTGTTAATTTTTTATTTTTTATTTGAAAAAATTCATACCAGAAATTTCATTCTTGTCACCTCCCAAATTTGTTCATGGACATTTTTGCCATTATAAAAATATTGTGGGGTG